GCCGGGGCAGCCGCCCCTCACCGTGCCTTGGACTCGGGGCACGGGCGCTGTCCCGGGGCTCCGCGGCCTCCCGCCGGCTGCCTGTGAGGGCATTAGCAACAGAGTCCAGATCGATTTAAAAACAAATGGAAGAACTCACCAGCCTCGGAGAGCTCCCGAGTCCCACGCTTCAGGCGCCCCGTAAGACGTGAGTTTTAACTGAAAATGTCCATGTGCTCGGCCAAAAAAATAGGATCCCAGGATAACCCGCAGGTCGAGAAAATAAAGGTCTTTCCTCATGGGTAAACCAACGTGCTTAAAAGGTCCGTGTGGTATTTCATGATCCCACAGCCTGGGGTGTTTTGCAACTCCACTGCACAAATATTTGCTTCGTGTTTTTAAGGCTTTGCTACATCTGTTCCTTCCTCATTTTCCTCCTTCTGGCTGATAACTTAATTTTTTGTTTCTCATTTCTGGAGAAATGCCGAATAACACATGCTGACTTACTTGATTCATTGCCAATATTTATTTCAAATTGATAGACCGCAGTAAAAAGTCACTGCAATATTAACAGCTGTAATGGTATGAAGAAATTCATCACTGGGAAAACAGACTAGCAGAAGATTCAAACCATAAAATAAATCAACAAGCTAGTACGGCTCATCCTGACTCAGAAAATATGTGTGTATATATTCTGAAATATTTGACCTTGCGAATTATTTGCAATAATTTTAAGTCAAGTTTCACTAAGGCTGACATTGTTGTAGTATTATTTGTTTGTACACAACTTGTTTTCTTGACACACAGAGTGGTACTATGTATGAAATCATGTACCAAATATTTTTAGCTTATGCTTCTGGACTTTACCTAACTTTTCCCTCCTTTTTTTCCCCCATACACAAGCACAAAAGTGAAGACTGAGAAGGAGAGTCTGTCTTAAAGAGAACTAAATACAATTTACGCACTTAGAGCTATAAACCAATTTCAAACTGATTTTCTTGAATTGCATTTCCTTGGGAAAGGAGACAAATTTGCTTTGCGACAAAGATTTTTGTGCTTTCCTCTACTACCACTCTACAGGCACTATCATTATAGCCTTCTCTTCAGAGGAAAGGTCT